ACTAGCCCAGAAGTTTGCATCACTTTGTGGTTTTCAAAACGAAGAGAAAGTCGTAACCGTCTTTCTCCTTACTTCCAATAACTTATTACTTTCTACTTTAAGCTCATTTTAGAAGTTTCTGGCTATAAATTTCTGAGTTCCCAAACACGCGAATTGCTGCAGAAATTGCTTATTCTGAATAATGGTGCAGCATAGACGCGCTACAATGCGGCTGCAAGCGTTGATCTTTATTTGCACGTAATGCAAGATCCTTTTTTTTTTCAACGAAGCATTTAATGTTTGGTCATCGTTTGCAAATGCTTCTCACCTCTGCCATTTTTTCTCTAAGATATTTTTTTAGACTAACAAATGATTTCGCTGTTCTGATGTTGACACAAGGATGAATGATGGGGATGGAAAGGAGTCGCATGGTGACTCGAACAACTTTCTCAGAAAGTTTGAGGCAATTCTACACACATTATTTGAAGAATATGGAAAGAAACCAACTTCTTCTAAAAGTCTGACAGACAATCAGAAGAGCATCGCTCGATGTTTGCAAGAACTTATCAGCTCTGGAGAATTGAAAATTGACAAAGCGTAAGTTACCTAATTGACGTTCTAATTTTTTTGAAGCTTTGATTAAATAATTGCTCTTTCTGTTGTTACCAATTTCTTTAGTTTTCCTAATTTTCAAACGCACCTCGTTTATTTAAAACCGACACGGTACCGCTAACAAGCGACGCGGTTGCACGCATTAAATTGCCCTTTGACTTGTTTTGCACGAGCTTCAATGTTGGAATGTTAAATTACGTATTTGAAGTAAACCTCATCAAATATGGTGTCTTTTCTGCTTCTGTTGATATTTTTTTGTTGTTACAAAAATTTTGTCCTTATCATCAGCAAAGATTGCCGTGCACTGCTATGGTGCAAAGCGGTCGATTTCCCAGCATTGTTTTGCATGTTGGTTGCTTTCAGGTCATTTGACATGTTTCTGCCAAATTTTTTATCAGGCAGATGTTTGAACATATCAAACATGCAATTGAAATGCAACCGCACCGCACCGCGTGCACTGACTTGTATTACTTTTACTGAAAGAAACAGTGTGTTGTGATAAAACACTACATCTTTTGCCTCTTCTTTTATAGTATCGGTATCAAATCAAAATTTTTTGCCTCTTTTTCTCCTTTTATACCACTTCAAACAAGTGTACTTCTCTTTTTAGTGTATTTCTTGTATTTTCCTTGTTCAGTGCCTCAGAGACAACTACTCTCTGCGATGGTTTCATCAGCGACTGGGAATCGACGGGTATAAAATCAGCAGCTGTACAACAGCTAATCGCGCTTTTGAACCGACCGCATGTTCGAGTAAGTTGAGTCGCGCTGTTCGTTTTTTTTTTGTTGAAGAAATTGACATGTCAGCTGCCATAAGTCTAAGACAGTTTTACGGACAAACAGCTACCTTCCTCT